AGACTGAGACCAGAAACTCATCAGGAAACTGTTTACTGAGCTCATAAATCAAGAGAGAAGTCTGCTCATTTCTCCATAAAATATACATATTTGGCCAATATCTCAGCATTTTATTCATTTCTGTGAAGAAAACTAAATTAAATTGTTATTTTTTGTATAGTTTTGATTATTCTTTAAGATCTGAACCCTGAAGAACTGAACACAGTCTGTATTCACAGAGCTTCAGTCTCTGATAAACAGCCTNNTTAGAAAACAACCAAAAAGCTCATAGAACAATGAGAAGAAAACACTGAATTTTTCAAAAAAGAAGCTTATTAAACATGTGTGAGTGTTAAAAATGATAAAAATACGTAATACAGACAGAGAAAGTTGCTAAAATATCAGGAGAACTCATCTCTTCCTGCAGTTACTGTGTTCCCTGTTTAAGTTCATTGTTCAGTTTATCAGCTGTTCTCTGCTGTTACTGTTGACTCGTTGAAGTTCCCGGTTATTCCCATCAATAAGTGTCAGACTGTTCCTGATGAGTTAATGCATGAGAGGAAACAACTGCTGCAGCGCTGTATACCTGCTATATACTGCATCCTGACTCAGAGCTGTAATTCTGGGCTCTGGTGATGGACTGAGAGAGGAAGACAGAGTGACAGACGTGTGACTCAGTCTCTCTCCTGTCAGACAGCAGGAAGAGCAGAACGACAGGACTGCTGAGGAGGAGGAGGAGGAGGAGGAGGAGGAGGAAAACAACAGCCGGAGTGATGGAGCTCTGCACATCGTGGGAAGGATGAAGTGTCGGCTGTTGTCACCTGCTGCCAGAGTCCACCTGTCTGAAACCCAGAGAGCATAAAGGTCCACACTAATGTTTCTGTTTGCTCCTTTTACAGGTTAACAGACAGATAACACATATCAAAAAATTAAAATCAACATTTACTCTGCTTAAAGGATAACATGCAAGGTGAAGCAAACACAATCTTATGCAATAAATGTAAAGGGATTAGAGCTTTCATCAGCCCGACCCAACCCGAGCCAAAAAATAAAACCATTTAACTCGTTAGCTAAACTGCATTGTGTAATAAAGTGCAAATTATTGTCAGAAACTAATAAATAAATGGACTCTTTAATTAGAGTTGCATGCATTATTCATAAAATATGAAATATATTTGTTAACATCCACATTCATTATGGAGTACACACCACATATCAACATAAATAATAACTGGGATAATTACTGTGAATAAACTGAAGCTGTGTGCAGAGAGAGTCACCAGTGTTTGTTTAGTTTGAGGAAACTGTCCTGTTTCGTGCTTTAATCGCAGTGGTGTCCAACCTGGGGGTCGGGATATCTTATATCTCTGCATTTTGTTAATTTCAGTGAAAGAAAAGAATGAATTAAGATCAAAACTTTAAAGACCTGAACACAAGTTATATTCACAGAGTGTCAGTCTCTGATAAACAGCCTCGTCCTGCGTTAGAAAACAACCAAAGAGCTGATAGAACAATGATAATATTCTAATATTATATATATATTTCATATATATATAATACTATACAATAAATAGTTTTACTTTTGGTACTTTAAGTATTTTTTAATGCTTGTGCTTTTCTACATTTACTTCAGTAACACTTTGAATGCAGTATTTCTATTTCTTTCTGCTGTTTGTTAATGTTTATGTTTTGGTATTTGTGAATAGAAAAAGAAAACAAATGAAAAGTCTTTTAAATATTAATTAAAATATATCTAATATCCCAAATGTACGGAACCTGTAGGAGTTGCTGTCCAGCAGGAGGCAGTGTAACTGGATCCAGTCGTTGAATTAACCATTAAATTAAAACAAGAAGAATAAGTAGAGGAAGTGAAACAACAACAGACGCACGCCTGCACTCACAGCCAACATGGAGGAAACAGAGTGTGATGATATTTTAGATGATTGGTTTATCGAGTCCCTGAAAACGTGAGAAGTCTTCACTCTTTGTTTGAACGTGTAAAGTTGATGTTATCGACCAGCTAGAAGCTCAATTCATTCAGAGACGCTACTAGCTAGCATCGGAAATTGAACTCCGCCTACAAATTGTTAAGTTTAATTTCCCCTCACTTACCCGCAGGTGTACGTTACTTCTATATAATATCATATGACATTTTTTGCATCTAATTCAAACACTTTTGAATTCGGCTGCCTCTTATTACACTTAGCAGCTCGTATTTTAGAAAAAGATAAAGTTTAAGAAGTGATTGCCGGACTTTGCTCAACTCAACAGCAAAGCAGCAAAGTGTGAAATCTGTTTTAGAAACGTATGTTTGGTGAATTATATTAGTGCCGAATTAAAGAGTGAGTTATATTCATTTAAAATTACTAATATTTTACAGCACAGGCATTTGTGCTTAGCACTGAGGTATAAAATATTAAATACCTATTTATTTTAAAGGAGTCTGGTGTCAACGTAAAAACAAATACTGCAGGTGCAATCAAATAAAAATGAGCATTAAAACAAAACTTAACTAATGAGTAACCTAACACCTGTATATAAATGTTATTGCAATGTTATAATGTGATTTTACAGCTCGGAGTTAAACAATGAGGATGTTAAATGTGGATCAGGGTCGGTCAGTAACACCTGTCTGCTTCCTACAGGTACAAAGACCTTCATGTGTATCAGCTGGAACATCCCACCCAGGTCATCGAGTGGACGTCAGGGAAGAGTGAGTTCATGTGGTTCATTCTAACACTCATTGTGTGACCGTATTATATTCCAGCTGGTCTGAATTCAACAGTTGTCAGATAATGTGGAGGCAATGAAGACACAACCGACAACCGACAACCCTAAACTACAATTACAATAAAAAGACTCTGATAAGTGACAGGTTTAGGAAGACACAGAGCTCCGGGGTTCCCACACACCCTGGAAAACCTGGAAATGGATGGAAATGAGCAAACATCTGGAATATGTTGCAGGTTTATCGGACACAAAGTCACCACGCAGCAAATTAAGTGATGTTAACTGTATGTGCAACATTTTAATAGGATAATATGTAAGAAGAGGAATTTTCTGTAAAATGCAATAAATTCTCTTTGATTTAAATGATCAGTCTATATAATGGCGTCATACTCAATGCTAAATACGCGACATTCCTGGTTTTGGGGTTAATTTGAGGAAGCCAGGATTATTTATAGCCTTAAATTATTAATTTTTATGATATTTAACAACTTTCTAGGCAATAAAACGGATAAAAAACCCCAAATTAAAACCAGTTTCCTGCCATAAATAGCAGTGTGTACATGTACATCCCAGTAAAAAAAGGAGAACGCCGTTATAAAATCTTGTTTTAACTAAGATTTGGTTGGGTTGGGGGGAAACTGTGTCACCGGAGAACATGTCAAGAAAAGGAAAATGTCCAGAGTGGGAACCCTGGAACCGTCTTTCATCCCTCCTTTTTATTATTGTTTACAGCCGTGTGTGTCGCAGGATTCACTTCGTCTAAGAATGAGATTCTGGAGCTGCGTTTGCCTCTCAAACTCTTCGCTGATGAAAATAAGGTAAGAAACACCGAATCCGTCCAAGCTTTGGGTTTATTATTGGAAACTGCTACAGTGTGAGTGTTGTGTTCAGGGTCTCTGTGCAGAACGGGACTTCAAAGTTGTCCACGGCGGCTTCACGGACGCTGCGGTTCGCTGCCTCAGACACGTCCCGGGTACCAGGTGAGTTTCTGACTGGATCAGCTGGAATGAACTGATTTATTTTAAATATAGTCTTTTAAATGTGAATGGTAAGTCTCCATTTACATCCACTTTAAGTCTCAAACCCGGTGATGGATTGTTGAAGCTTTTACTGTTTGCAGAAAACTTTTATTTCAAAGCCTCATTAATGAGCTCTATTTCAGTTAAATAAATAAACTGATTAAACTCGGATACAGAAACATAAATCCAATTAAACACCTTCAATAGAAGGAGACTGAAAAACAAACAATCAAAGCTGAATAAGATAACAGCAGCTGATTCCGCTTTCATTCAGTCGACAGGGAAGATTTCTCTGAACATTTTCTGTAAATAAATATCTGTAGACGTCATGTTGGGCAGTAGGAACTTCTTCTGAATATGATAACCAATAATTACCTTCTCTTCATGGCCGATCCCCGATAGCATTTTTGTATTGAAAAAGGAGTTCCTAACGTTCAGTAAAGGCACTCTTGAGGGTAAGAAAAGGTGTGTTGTTTTTTTATTGCAACCAATGGCGCTGCCCCCTGCTGGCCATTACATAGAATGCAGGTTTAAGACACTTCCATGTTAGCTTCACTTCAGACGTGGACGCTCTTTAATAACAGCGTGTTGACTTGAGTTGATTGTTGCTGTGTTGTTGTTGTTGTTGTTGTTTTGGACAGGTGTGTTGTTACCAACGACGGGCTGAGCTCAGACCTGCAGGTGTGGGACCTCGGAGGAGACGACAGCGGTGAGTAAAGACACCGTTACTTCATCCACTGTGATTAAAGATGTTGTTTATTGTACTCGCAAAACCTTATTATAGATTTATAACATTAATATATCAGCTAACAGCTATTCTCTATATAAAGATACAGAGTCACATGGTGTCTCTCTCCCTCTGCCTGTGTTGTATCGCAGCCTCTCTGTGGTTTGTTTCCATAGCCGGTCTGCTCCGACTGAAAACTGCTGTTTTTTAAGGATTGTAATTCACCGAAACCAGAGTGTGGCGCGTTGTTGGAAGAGACACTGAACAGAGACGCTTTTGAATCAGTTTTATTCTGTTTCTGGGCTGTTTGTGGTTAAACTAAAGGTCTATCTCTGTAGGGATCCTTTCATAATGCTGTCAGACACTGACAATAACAACCTGAGTCTGTCAGTGGAACAAACATTTAGCGGACACACTTTGATGACACATTTGTCCCAGAGGATTATTTAGGTTGCAGTCAGTTTTGTGAAAATTTTCTCCTCTCACTTGGTGAATTAATGGTTTATTTCGACCAAACCAGCGTTGATGATTATTAAAAAGACTTAAACTCATCTAATGACTATGAGTTGAATTAAGATCCCCGTTAGCTAATGCAGAACACATTATTCTCCTACAAAAAGAAAGAAAAGTGTAACAGCCGTACTGGGGTTACGGCTGTAGGGCTCTGAGGTGTTAACCTGTTTTTTAAAGCTTATTTTTTTTAGAACAAAATAAACAATTGGACGTCTTAAAACTGATTTATTCAGTTAAAGTGACAAAACTGAAATGTCTCCTTTTATTGTTTTCTCTTCTTATTCCTTGCTTTCTCCCGATGTGATTGGTTGTCCGCCGGGTCTCATCGTCCAATGACAGATGTGATCAGGCGAACAGGAAGTGTGGACGGGTCGAGGGGCGTTTCAGAGGGAGGCAGCAGGATCGCAGCTCGGCTCTCGTCGCAGCCTCAAGTTCTTCACGGAGCCGAGAGCGCCAACGTGCGGCTGACTCAGCTGACCTCGGGACAGACTGTGTACACACTGGGTAACAGTCCGTCTGTCATATACAGCTCTACGTACAGTACACCTGTTTGTATTGGACGGTTGACAGAGCCGCAGGGTGAAGGGAAACAACTGTAGCTCTAAACTGTAGTTGTGTCTCAATACTGCAGTGATTCTACGCAGGTTTTAATTCTGTAGTTTATTATTATATGTACTATGTGTATTTGTGCCATCGAAGACATAAAGCAGTGCAGTACAGGAATAACATTTAAATAATCTAAAATATAATCCTGTGGTAGAAAAGGTGTAAAGCTGTAATGAGAACAGGTTGTAGACGAGCTGCGCACATAAACATATTTATACATATACAGAGATACCATAAAGGGGTAATCATATATAGTCTACAAATATTTATTAATAAATATACAGTATCTTTAGTACATAATGTTAAAGTATCAGTTTAAAACCTGGTGATGTTTTCTATCTGCACCGGCTTTAACAGACTTAAAGGCTGCAGTTGATCAGTATTTGAACAGTTTCCTTCATCTTCAGATTCAAACCAGGGAAGTTCTCGTTTTAGGACCATTTATAATTTGATGTCTTACTTCGTCCCAACAGAGACGGACTCGGCCGATCCTCTCAGTTCTTTACATTTTGTGAGTGACGCCGTCTTCCTCGCCGGCTGCTCTAATGGAAACGTTTACATCGCCGACACTCGGACGTCTGCTGCGCCTCAGCTTTCACCTCCACCGCCGTCTTCCGGTGAATCCGTCCTCTGGTGGACAGACGCCTCCGCAGGCCCGTCCTGTTTGGATCCGTCCAGCTGCAGGATTGTCAGACTGTCCTCGCGTGGACAGACGGTGATTTCAGACCTGAGGAACCCGGGAGGAGCCGTGAGTCGGGCTCAGCTGGACGTCCAAACGCGCCGCTGCAACGTGGACGATGTCAGAGTGTCGTGGGCTCCGGCGCTGGACGACTGTATCGCAGTGTCGGGTTAGTTCAGAGCACCGAGTTTGAGGAGAGGATTGATACCACTCCATATACATCCAGTTAGCTTAGCATAAAGACTGGAGAGAGAAAGAAACAGTCTGACTGTCTAAAGGTAACAAAGCTAGCAGCACCTCTAAAGGTAACTAAAGTACGTATTCTGTGGCTCAACAAATGTCACGGCTTGGTGTTTGCAGATCTGCTCATTAAAAGTAAATAGGATGTTATGTAATGTATTTCTATTGTGATGTTTAGTTTTGATGCAGCAGTTGGAAGAAAACACTTCCAAGATGAAGAAGTCATTGTTTTCTGGCAGGTTTCAGTGGCGCGGTTCAGATCTACAACACCTCAGCGTGGAGGACGGAGCTGCAGGAGGCTCAGCCGCTGTTCGAGCATCGCGGTCACGCAGTTTCATCGCAGTCTGACGAAGGCGTCCCCGTCTTCGTCACCTCCCACGTCTGGCATCCTGAGCGGCCGCGGACGCTGCTGTCTGCAGCCTCGGACGGCTCTGTCCACGTGTGGGACTGGGTGGACCAATCAGCTGCCGGCTGCTGACGGTCGAACAGGAGGATGAAAGGAGCCGATGTTAACCTCTGCGGTTCTGTTCTGAGTCCGGAACATCCACTGAAAACATAAAAAGAAAGAAGAACTCATCAGTTTCTGATTTAGCAGATCAAAACTGAAGTCTGGTCTGATGTTCCTCTGCACCGCCTCCCTTTTTCATAAAGGGATGAAGAGATAAAAATGGGATAGAATTTACCATCAAACTTGTTTCTGTCTCCAAAAAATTGTAAAACAAAATTTAATTTCCACAGGATCAGATCGGAGAACATTTTGTCTTTAATGGTAGGAAACAAATAGAACTTTCTAAGATTGCTGTTGGATTATAGTCGCAGCTGTTCCTGCTAACTGTTCTCATCTAAAGCAGGTGGCTACTGTTTTAATTACAGCACATATTTGTCTTGAACATGTTCGTCACTAATGAAGTGTTTTCACTCCAGAGGGCCGAGGAAACAGCGGCAGGAAGGTTTTAAAGACTCAGTTCACCCGAAATCTGACAGCTGTGGTCTCACACTACAAGATCTGTCAACCTCTACCTTTCATCAGGAGTCATTAATAACAAGCACATCATGTTTAATTTGGAAAGTAGCCACAACCTTATCATACACTCTAAAAACAAACAGTTTGCATCAATCAGTCAACTTCTAATGAAAAGCTGTGCCTCTTTCAGTGGAGGATTCTCTTAAAATAAGTGCTGGTAGATGGATCCCATAATTACCTCGATCCACCAACTGTTCACTCCTGTGTGTGGTGTGGGTGGTGTGTGTGTGTGTGTTGTGGTGTGTGAGTTGTGTGGTGTGGTGTGTGTGTGTGTGTGGTGTGTAGTGTGTGTGTAGGCATTTGGGAGGTTTTTTTTGGCTGTTACCAGACGTAACCACACGGTCGGCCCTGCTTCCTCCTCCTGGGCAGCACTGCTTTCATTAGCCGTAGTGCGTGGGTATGGCTTCCCCCCAACACGAACCATGTATTTAGCCCCTAATAGACCACTTTTCGGGTCGTCTGTCTCGTTTGATCCGGCTCAACAGAGTGAGCCGCCCCCATTTGTCAGCAATCTTCCAAAAAGCTGTCCGGCGAGTTATAAAACGACTGAAAACACTGTAGTGTGAACTCTGAAGTAGATTTCTATATCTTATTCTTGAGATTGGTTTTAACAGCTGGTAATGGGGCGCGAGTGAGCGACACAGTCTCCTATCAGCTGATAACCAGGAGAGCCAGCAGCGTGGTGGAGATACTGTGGAAGACTTTTTGAAGCTGTCAATAAGAAACGTACAGTGGGAGCAGTAAATTATTGTGATCCCTTTAACTGCATTTCTTCAGGCTTTGCCCACTAACAAAGAATGGAACTGTGTATCGTTTTAATCATAAGGTACATTTTAACGTGAGAGGACGAATATCACAAAATAATCCAGAATAACATCATATAAATGATTCCCCCACCAGAAACCAGTGGGACCTAAAGGCAAGTTGGGACCACCAGTCACGCAAAAGAACCATCAGATAACACACTACCACCGTGGAAGGGATTAAAATCCTGCTGCATGCGCAGGGTTCTCTGCTAGAAGAAGGC